CTTGTAACCTGAAGCTCTATCCAACCTGAAGCATCATCTATCCTGAAGCCTCATCCAACCTGAAGCATCACCTGAAGCCCCATCCAACCTGAAGCATCATCCAACCTGAAGCTCCATCCAACCTGGAACCGCATTCAACCTGAAGCCCCATCTAATCTGTCGGAGCTGCAGCTGGTTGGTCCTGATTGACAGAGATGAATTAAGATCCAGGAGACAAGCCCTTGAATAGACCTGATCAACCTGATCCTGCAACTGCTGCAAAAAGTGACGATAATGTTTTGTTTTTTAACAAAATAAGATATTTTGCACYTCCAAAATAGCAGCAAATTGTAAAATTTGACCCACCCAAAGCTGTTTTTAAATTCCAGAATGCAACAAAACAGAGASAATACCAAGGACTGGAATATTTCTGTGTTTTATAGTCTGCTGTAGATTAATTTTTGAATCTGTGGCTCAACAGTATTTATTTGTACATTGGCTTGTTTATTTTGGACTTGGTATTAGTCAGTATCTGTGCGAACTTTGCCTCTTGAGAACAGTACAATCAACAAGCAAAAATCAAGTGAATGAGAGCCACTAAAAWTTTTTTTTTAGTCTGAGGATCCTTTTCTGAAGAAGACTGATGTATTTAAACTACATCTAGGATACCAGATTACCAAAACGAAAAAGTTTMGAAACTGTAATAACAAGGAGATGTGTGCTTAAACAGCATGTGCTTGCTACAAATAAATTATTATTTTGTCAACATAATATATCATTCATTAAAGATTTTTGTTTTAATGCTACATCTGTTTTTCAATTAGAAACAAAGGAGTTGGAGTCAGTAAGAAGTTTTCTGTTAAAYCAGATGCATTTCTCTTCATCCTAAGAAAGATTAATAATAATGTTTCTTGTCTGTTTTAATTTAACGTGTATTATTTTAAACTAAGCAAATTAATTTTGTTTCTGTTTAAACTAAGACTTTTAGCCTGGTTGAGTTTGGTAACAACTCTGACCTTGGAAATCCTGGAAGTTGAATCCAGGAATTGATTTTGAAATCACGACTCCAAACAAACAAATCTTTGCTCTGGGAGCTGATACGTTTCACTGGGATTTTTTTGTCTTTATGGTTATTTAACATGTAAAACATTAAATATACAACTTGAGAAAACAAAATGTTTTATAACATTTAGGATCAAAACATAAATAAATGCCACAAAGCTGGATTTATTATGTGTTTGATAGAATTTTCAGGTCTTTTTGGCTTTTTTAATTAATGAGGACATCTAAAATAAGTGATCTGTAAAAAATGCTTCTTGTTGTATTTGTAAAACATCTGTTTGCTTAGTTTTTGGCAGTGTGATYTCACTGTGTGTTTATTCCACGGTTTCCTAAATTTAATGATTTGCTCTCATTAATCATTAACTGGTCCTGTCATGAGCTGAGCTTTCTGCTCTAGCAACCTTTTTATTCCTGACAAAATGTGTGCGAGGTATCTTGGGTTTGTGCTTCTGGCTTCGCTTCCAGGTTTGATTCAAGGTAAGAACATTTCATTTTGCCACAAAACATTTGTTTCTTTACTTTTGTTTTTCTTCAGCATTAACTTTACATCTCCTTTCAGCACAAATAGCAGAGCAGACTTGTCCTCCTCCGGACCTCAGTGGTGGTTATTTTGTCCCAGAACAACAACAGTATACTGATGGGACAACTGTGAAATATTCCTGTGATGCTGGACTCAAACCTGTGGTGGAGGGCTGGTGGGCAACAAGCAAATGTCAGAATGGAAAATGGTCACACACACCTGAGTGTATTGGTAAGAGCTCAGAGSTTTGTTAAATGGATTTTGTTAATTTGTCTTATTTTGAAGAATTTATTYCGACTGGACAAAGATTTGAGCAAATAAACACATTTAAAGWCAAACAGACAAGTGCGYTAAGAAATAATTTAACYGCTGTRTTWGTTTTATTTTGAAGCAGTGAATGTMAAAATTATTGACTATATTAAAGGCTTCTTTCACACTCGATGATGGCTCCATGTTATCAATTAGAACATGGTTGAATTGATTAAGAAAACTCCATCARTGTGTAATTTGGTAATTTCCAAATATTAGTCACTCTGTATCCCACTCTGCCCACTATGGCAGGTCATGAGGCTACAGCAATAGTGTAGCAATARTGTGTTTCCATGACCACAGTTTTGTATAAGGTGTCCCAAAGTGATACTTGAGTAAAAGTACACACATCTTACCATAAAACTACTTTGGTAAAAGTTCAAATCTCCTCTACGAGTATTATTTGTGAAAAAGTCCTAAAAGGACGATATTTTTCGTACTTAAGTATCAAAAGTAAATTTCTGATATAAAATGTACTACAGTAT